GGGGGGGGGGGGGTGTTAATTGGGAAGTGTAAACGGTATATAAGGAATTAATCGTAATTAAGCGAACAAGTTTTGCAATTTTTCTAGCGGAGAAATACTCCTGATTATAAACATCTTGCTTGCAGGCTCAAGCTGCTGGTGGTCGCGGAGCAGCACCTGGTCGAGGTGTTGTGCCACCTGTAAGAAGATAATCGTGTGTTGTGGGATTTTGTTTCTTCTGTTTTTGCGATCGTAAATTCAGCGTAAGAATGTTCAAGTAGTTTCTTAAGGTTGGTCGTTAGTCTAGTTGTCTGAGTCACATTCGGTCTACTTTGTAACTTGCTTTTTACATTACTTTGGAAGGCTGGAATACGAGTGCTATTCAGATTGCCGCTATGTGCTTGTACTTCACCTGTGTTTAAGTAATATGGATTACTCCAGTTCTTTACCACCACTCTGTGTGCCCCAAGTATGTCATTAGGCCTGTCTTTAGTGCTGGATGTGGGCTTTCTTGAGCTCATAAAAGAAACAGTTTATTTTGGAAGACAAGTTTTCTTCCAGTTCTTTTTGTGACGCGCCAGAGGATCTCTTTTCAACCGAACTACACCTTTTGGCTTTGATGGACCTAATAGAATCAGAATGTTGAAAATGCCTTTTTTCCCCCTTTTTCCTTCTAACCTTCTACTGATAAAAAAACTGCTTTTTCTTTTTCTTTTCTAGGATGAGGTATTTGTGTTACTAGTGATCATTACATCTGGAATTCGAGTTCTGGATCAGGAGTTTCTGCTCTTTGTTTACAGTGGCAAGGAGGCTTAACAATTTACTTTGTTATTTGGTCATGTATCCTAGATTATAGAGCAGCATGCTATCTAGTTGGAGGAGAATAAGTGAGTGACCTAGGTATGTTTGTACTTTTTGAAAGGGGTTTACAAGTACTAAAACCATAAGTAGTGAGAAGTTTATAATTGAACGGACAAAACAGCTAGTTATACGCCAAAACTCACGAAGCACATTTCACAATTTCAAATGTTTATAAATTTGGTTTTACCAGTTTGATTAGGAAAATAGAATTCGACATTTCTAAAGTACTGTGTAGACTTAGTTTTGATAATTTGAAATATACTTTGAGCAGTAAAAGAAGACGTGATTTGAAGACTAATATAATATATTAGTAAGGTTGAAGGAGGTTATTCTAGAATTGTCAACTTATTATGATATAGCTGCTGTGCCATTGTTCATGTATGGTCATATTTCTTTATATAAGGGTGTCTTAGGATCAATGATATTGGGAGCAGGGGCGGATTTAGGGGCGGTAGCCGGGAGGTGTTTACCCAAATCTCCTTCGCTGGAAAATTATACTGCATATATAAGGCAAAATTTATTTTTTACTTTTATATATTATGTTTTAAATCCCCTTGGCATAGCTTAGTGATCGAGAGGATTAAAAACCTTTGTAAGGTCATTGGTTCAATACCCACTAGCTATAATTTTTATTAGCTTTTTTCTTTTTGAACTACCTTAGTGAAAATCCTGTCTCCGCCACTGATTGGGAGATCAGTCTTTAAATCCAGTATAGTAAAAACACGCTGAGCAATTTTCTTTTTTACCACGTAAGCTTTGGTGGTAGAGTTATGTATATGTGTTGGTGGGAGACCAAGTACTCGGTGCAATAATAGATACTACTTTCATTAAAAATGTCATATTATCTCCTAATTTTATTTCCCTGAACTCCCCGTTTCATTAGCTTAATGATGGAATAAAGGGAACAAATGTTACTAAAGTTTTGAGGATGCGGGCGGAGCAGGGAGTTTGATTAGGCCCAATGGGATGAGGAAAAAATCTGGACAGGTCTTTGTAAATTGGCTGCCAATTGGATGAGGAAAAGAGATTACATAATTTGAACAAGAGTAGACAGTCGTGAACCAGTGATTCTGAGGCTCAATCTGTTCTTTTTTTCCTCTTTAAAGAATATGTAAACTGGGATAGAGACTAGTAACGAATGTATAGTCAAGCTTGAACAGTCTCAGCCATAAACAAAATCCTATGGACCATTAATGCATGTCTGAGAATACTTTGAACACCTCTTTTGGAGTCTTTTCTTCTCCAGTCTAAAAACAAACTGGAAAAAAGGGTCCATGAACTTATGCTTTATCTTGCAAAAAAATCAGACTTTTCTATGGTTGTTAAGCCATGACTTGTGAATTGTGATTCATTGTTAAATGAATCATTGATGTCCCCATATTAAATGCTCACCAACTATGTCGATTGAAAATTGACTACTATTATTAGTACGATGGTACTGAATCTGTCCTGCGTTTTTGCATTCATGTGTGCATTTTTTTTACTTTTTTCATGGAAATATCAATTTCCAATTGCTCGAAAAGTCTCCTCACAGGGCATAAAAATGCTTACCAATCTTGAAATATACTCAAGATTGCATCAGATGAATGCCCCAGTAGAACATGAATGCGTGTTTAGGTAGGTACATATTGGGACACCGACTCTAAATGGTGTCTCAAGTATTGTTTTGACAAAGTCACCATTGCTATGAGAAAAAAATGTCCTTTTTAGATTGTGGACTAAAATCAATCAATTTTAGCTCTTTGATCAGTACCACTGCTATTTTCCTCATCTGGTGGCGGTGCCTTTACAAACTACAATGCACTTCTTTTCATAAATTCCATAATTCCAAATCATAAACCTAGACAAAATGCAGCCTCCAAATTTTATTTTTAAAAAGGGAAGAAATGAAAAAGAAAAACATAGCATATATTTCCGTCCAGGATAGGACGAGGAAAAAACAACAAATGTTGTTTCTTCAGAAAAATAATACATAACAGAAAGTTTGTGTTCCCAAAAAACCAAAAGTTTTCAAGGCTAGATCCAAAAATACACATCCTTTTTCAAAAATAAATTTAAAAAACCTATAAATACTTCCTCTGGTTTATATGTCTTTTATGATTTTTGCACACTCATTAAGAAAAATATTTAATAGCCTTAATCATAAAAATATTGATCTAAATTACCATTTATCTCTTCTTAAATATTTAATTTACTTAATACTCCTAATTGGAATAGCAAGGATAGATATATAATAAAGTAATACTCCTACTAATATTTAGGATCTGAAGAATAAAAAACAGAACTGTTTTGCATCCAAACACCACCCGAAGGAAAATTATTCTCTCTTTGGACTAATTGTTGGAAGGAGTAGAGAGAAAAAAGATATAATTGAAGTGTAAAAGCATATAAACCTTAATTAAAGTAATAAAACTCCAAGTTTTGAATCATATTGTTATTATATGTTTTCATTTTGGATGGGAATGGTGAAGGCTAAATAAGAGTGCAACCTGAGCAAAAAGCTGCTAACAATCCTTCTATAATTTATTCTTAATAATCGATAGTGCAAAACACATGACGGATTCCATTTCAGATCATTACAACAGAAAAACCGATTAGACAAAAATCTACCTAAGAATCTAAGGAACTAAAAGAATTAATTGAGTCATTGGAATATTTTTTTAAAGTCTAATCTTACTTTTGATGATAAAAGATGATGTGAGAGATGATTGCCTCTTTCGTTAATAACACTGTGCACATGTGTACCATTGTTCCCTTTTCTATCTCACTTTGTCTTCGACAGAGTCATGCATCCCATAAAAGAAAGAAACTCAGCATTTGGACAAAATCATACTACTAATTTTTTGTTTTACAATTTTAAGTATTCAATTGATTGATAAGTTATAGTAGGAATATGCTCATAGTGGTCCTACATGCATGTGCTCAAAAGTATGTGTCTTCAACATTGGCTCGACATCTTGTTAATTTATCACATTATCAGTTTAAAAGCTATCTTGATTACATCATTGAAACTAATTAATCTTATTCTTCATAATGATTAAAATGGATTAAGACCTTCCCATTTCGAACAACAAGTAATAATAAGCTGAAGGAATAAGATGGGTAGTTAAAGAAATAGGGGTTAGCTCAAATGGTTAGCGTCCTCTATCGACACCCCAGTGGGTTCGAGTCACTCAAAGAGCTTTAGCTCCAATAAAGGGGATCAAAGGGGGAAAAAATAAGGAAAAAAAAACTATAAGTAACCTAAGTAAAAGTCTAATACAGTTAAAAGTTATTTGCTTGAGAGAAGAAATTCATAAAACATGACACATATTCACCAATATTTTTGAAAGTATGATTTGATTAGAAGCATATATAAAACTAAAGAGTTTAACTTTTGTACTAACGCAATGTAAAATCTTTTTCACACTATCATATCAAATAAGATAAATGATTTCCTATAGTATATTAATATGCATCGATAATATAAATTTTTTTACAATGTAAGCGAATATAATTAAGTTAAAATGTGTAAACGTAAAACATGTCGGTAGCGGTCAAGCAAGGTATAGTCAAGTGTATTTGTTACTCAGCCGTTAGAAGTATGTGCGAGGCTAAAATTTCAAAGTTCGAGCCGGGATTACACATACATCTTAGCTTCATTAGTCAGACAATACACGTCTGATGATTAATATTAAGGAGTTTAAATTTAATATATTAACGGGTGAAAAATATTTACATAATCAAGTTATCTAGTTAAAAACTATACCTACAAGCTCATTAATTACATGACTTTGAAAAGTTGACATATCTAGAATATTTTTGAGAGCACGCGGTCAAAGTAAGTATGCTTTGACCTATATATTAACACAGTGAGCTCTTATCACATTATAGTCTGATGGAATTAGGTGAGTTAGTATTGATATGATCGCATCCTTATCACATTATAATCACGGAGCTATCATCGAGTTATATTCTTGGGATCGGGAAAATTTGAAGGAAAAAAAATTGCAAAGTCTAAACAAACAAAGGCCTCTAAATTTATGGTAACTCTTTGGAACAATAGAATTAAGAGTTTTCCACGGGTGCAGAATCCACACCACCGATGAAAATACCAATAGTACATGAAAACAATATACAAATCAACCCAAATTACTCCACAAGAGTTAGATGTGGGCTAGCTATTTTAATTTACTTTTGTCAGTTAAAACTAAAGAGAAGCTCTTACTATTTACTTAATATCCTAATTAATGATCCTAGCTGGTCAAACCCAACTTGGTCTTCATCTGAACATGGAAATAAGAGAGCAGAAATCATCTTCATCACAAGGAATAGTAATGCCCATCTCATGGCTAAATCCAAACTCTTCTTCAGCTCTTTGAAGTAAGCTTTGAAATTCTGGATATGTCAACCAAGAAATAGGAATTATATATCTGCTCCTATTTTCTCCCACATATACAACAAAATGGCCTTTTGGAACATCGTGGGGGAAACCATTCTCGTTCTTTCCGAAGCTAGAACACCTCTTGATCATTTGTTTTAAAGCTGCTGTTTGAGTGCTTGTTTTCTTTAGACCCATTTTGAATACAAAGAGAGATCAGTTTGAGAATGTTTTGTGATGTGAGGGAAATATGGGAAGGAAAGAGGGAGTATTTATGGAGGGAGACTTGAAAAACAAAGGCATGTGGAGTGTGTAGGGACATAGGGACTAAATAGGGAATGGATGGTTTATGGGGTAAGCTTTTGTACGAGGACATGAGGGCCTCTTTTTCTCATTGCTCTTGTACCCTACTTAGTACTTACAAGTCATCTCTATTCAAAATTTTAATACCGAATAAGGAATATCATTTAATTTGAATTTCATAAGTTAAATCTTTACATTTTTACCGATGAATCCATGTTTAATATATGAGTTTTGGGTTTAGTTGAACTTATACCTTTTTAACTAGATCCGCTAATGTTTATGATTAATTTTTTGTGGGCAACTCAACGTTTTTACTGAGAGGATTAAAAGAAGACAACAAAGTGGTCCAAATGAGGCTTAAACACTTGACATCATAATAATTTTGAACCTCCTTAGCTAGCCAATATTGCTCTTAAGACATCCCTAGCTGGTGCCAAAGTGATTCATGCCAAAGTGATTCATACAAGCACGCATATTTTTGTTATCTACTGTGTTCGAAATAGAAAACCGGAATAAATAGATACTTCGAGTCCATAAAATTTATCGTGCGTCCTTAAGAAATTTAATCTGCTCACACTATTTGAGATATTAAATTATTTTCTCCGAAATAGAACGAAATTTACCTTTGTTGGAATAATGGTACTTCAAATTCCAACAAATGTCAGGCGCCAAGGCAAGAATAAATCACACTGTACAAACTCTGTTTTGTATTTGAGAAATACGTAAAAGAGTTTGAAAAAAATACTAATATGAAAGAGAGGCCAAGTCTATGTATTTATGGCCAACGAAAAAAAGGTGAGATGAAAAGATGTAATTCGAAGAAGGTGCCAATGTGATTTCTTTTCGGGAAAAAATCAAGTGACTTTATAAAAAAAATTCACAAAATAAAAATAAAATAAAAAGACTTGTTGGTCCAAAAATTAACTAATCAATTATATGATCAAACCCAAATTCGAGCCTAGCGACAACAACATCGCAAAGGCTTGCCTTCTTCCCAAGCCTTTCAAGGTAGTATAGAAATGCCTTTCAATATAGACCTCAAAACCCAACACTTTGTTAGCTGAAATACAGTTTACTAATCAAGAACTTTTACTCAGTCGAAGAATAACGTAGTCTTAAGCAAATAAATATCACAATGCATGTATGTCTAATACTGTATTAATGCGGTTCAATGGATGATCATATAATCAATCGTAGGTTGTTAGGCTGTTAATAGTCAAGTTCTGCTTAAAATGGCCACTTTTATACAAGTGTAAAGAAAACAATAGAGTAAGATTAGGAAAAGAAAAATGTCGGAAGGGAAAGTGCCACTTTAAGTGATTCAAGTTCGTTGGACCTAACGATGCAGGTTTGATTACTTTTTAAGTGGAACCCTCTGACTTCAATTTCCCACCCCGTTTATGCTCGTAATTAGTATATTACAAATTTCTACAAAATAATCATGTTATAACTTGCCATTTCATTTTCTGTCAAATATAATGTATAGTATAAAGATTGTTAAACACGCTACAATGATTTGTCACTAATTAAGAATCTGCGCTTTCGTATGGGCTTTGTGGAATGTTTTCCTTAAAAAAATATTATTTCATACTTGGTCACCTTAAATTGCTGAAAACATTGTCCTTAGAAAATATTTCTAATCAAAAGGAGAAAAATAATTTTCATTGTTTAAGGTCAGAATTTATTTTCTTTTATAAACGTTTAAATATAACGCTTAGATATTATTATTAATCTTTAATAATAAAAAGCACCGGCCTCCATCTTGTAAGGAACATATACAGGAAATCACCTAAAATCATTTTCTAACATAAAACTTTTTTCACGAAAAATATTTTACTACATACAACGTCCACCCTATATACTCAAGACGTTACCAAATTAATTAATCCATATTTATTTCTAATTGTCTATTATGCTTTATATAACGGTGTGATATTTTTTTTTCCTTACAAAAAAATAGTGTCATATGTTTCTTACGTTTTTTTTTTCTTTTTAAAGAAAATTAAATGATCTTATCGCTTATCACAATAAGAAAATGAAAAAAATAGTTCTATTAAATATTAATCTAATCAATTTAGAGAACTACAATACATAATTGTAACAAAATACATTACTCAGATAGCATCATATTCGTATGGACCTAGTAAAAACTAAAGGCATAATACATAGTCTGTCCTCTGAGCTTGTAGTCAAATATCTTTTACATATTTCAGTTTTATGATTTTCTTTATTACATATCAAACTTTTTACACACCAAATGTTTCACCGAAGAGGTGTGTATTATTAGATACATTTGATAAAATAAAAATAAAAATTGGCGTGTGAAGAGTTTTTCGTGAAACTGAAGTATGTAAAAGAAATTTGACTACAAACTCATAGGTAAACTAGGTATGAAGCCTATAATAATCAATGAACAAAGGATAGCATATGGGTTGACATTGCAGATGGTGTTGGATTAAAGACAAGTCAACACCACAGACTACGGCACTAATAAATATGCATTATTATGATTATGATTTTCAACATTTAAAATCATTTGTACACAAGCATAGAGACCCCTGTTTTTGCCAATTTGATTCATGTCTCAACTTACAAAAACGATGGATGGACAATTTCATAGCAAGTATTGGACCACCACGTTAGCTAGTCACAAATCATCCTACAGCCAAAGGACATCAATCATCAATATTAAAAATATAGTAAAATGACAGCACTATTTCATTAATGTCAAAGGTTCCAATACGGGTTGAGGAGTTTTATTTTAATACACATCTAAATTTATTTCCAAGAACCCATAATATAAGAAAATATATCACTTTATTCTCGTACTATTTTTTAATTAAAGAATAATTACAATACTGGCTGTATATTTGCTTTTGTTTATTCTTGTTAGGAAAATGAAAGTAGTTTTCTTATACTACAGCTCCATTCTTGATAAACTCTACAAAAAATATCAGATTTTTCTATAATACTTCATTATTCATGCTAGCTATAACCACTGCAGCTTCTTTGTAACTGAATTTCCTTTTTAAGGAGAGCAAAATAGTTATCACGATTTTATTTTCTGCAAATATAATTTTTCTAGAACAGAATCAATGACATCGGATCTAACTTCACTCTTCCCTCTTAATCTACTCTTTTAAAAAAATTCTCATAATGATTCCCTATTACTTTTATATATTTACATGCAATATTCATTTTTTTTCCCTTTTCTTTTATCAATTGATCTCTTATTCTGAGAGGATGGGAATGTTCACGTTGGGACAGAAACTATCACCTAGGATTGAGCATTCAACTAGGCTGTACTAAAGGAAAAGCACTGAGAGTGAAATGACTTTTCAAACTAATGTACTGCAGTTTTCAACCTTTACTTTTTCTTATAGTAGTAGCAATTTTCAACTTTGATATAGATTTGACCCTAAACGTTTTCCAACTTGGAGTTCTCTTACATGGTTATCAATATAATATTGTCTAAGAGTTTAAGTTATTCGCGAGAAACTTATTTATTTGATCATATTAGCTCTGTAATATGCTTACTTAACTTACAGTTTGTTTGGATGGTTGTTTCCTATTGTGTTATATCGTATCGTATTGTCACTTTAAATATAATTTTTGGTTTAATTGTTACTTAAATTTTATTGTATCGTATTGTTAAATTCGTCGTTACGTAACGATAAAAAGTGCATTATTGTAACGAGTTATGTGGTGTGGTCGCGTCATTACCTTATCTTTTTATTTCATCGGGCCCTTTTTCTATTATTAAATAATTATATTTTATCCTTTATTCTACCTTTTTGTATAATAATTCTATCATGTATCATAGTTTTTCTTTGTACTATCGCAAGTTTATTTTTTATATTGCTGGCGATAAATAATACAATCTATCCAAACGTTGTATTCATCAAACAATATAATACAATACGATACATTATGAAATAACGTGTAACAACCATCCAGTCTGACTCTTTTCTTGAACCAATGAGAAATTCTTTTTCATTAGAGGCGGTAAATCTGAGCATTAACCCCAATTCTTAAAGTTATTGATGATCAAAAGGAGATTTTTACTAAACGTTCTGGATACCATGTTATATATATCTGATGTGAAATTTATATAACTCACCAACTATTTGATAACGTTATCTTTAATTTGTCTTCCATAAATCTAGTTCCCACCAAACTATACTAGCTAGGCTCATCTTGTGGAGGTGAAAGATTGCAACCCTCTAGTGAAGAAGTAATTGATGGACAAAATGGTATGTGACACACTCATCCAATTAACTCACTTCGTACACCTAAGGAGTTTCACTATAGTCTTATCCACTCTGGTCCCTCTAGTCATAGTGTAGGAACCATATAGCTGAGATGTGTTTAATTTAAATTTGAATTTGTCTATTCTACATGACGTGTATCATGTGAATTGATGCAGAGTCTTAGTCCTATGTTGGAGCAATAAATAAAATAAAATTGCATATATGGAATTGGGGGAAATAAGGATTTCTAAACAAGCCAAGGATCCCTTAGCGTCTCCTTATTTGACATAAAAACCTATCCTAATGAAAGTTTCATGAATCGCCTTATCATTTAGACTTTTCATTCTCATTACAAAGAAAACCCAGTTTTCTAGTTCATTCAATCTTTTTATTTTGTTACATAATAATGGTGTCCGGACCAATTTCAGCTATTTCACCCGTACATGTTATGTCTTACGGTCAGAGATCCGAGTAGCTCTGCGTACAAGACTTATACAAATGATAAGAAGTCATGCATGTAATAATTTTTTGTGTCTCTACTAAGATTTGAACTCTAAATTTCACCCAAATCATTAACCGCTAAACCACACCCTAATGCTATATATGCTGATCATTCAGTACTTTGAAGGCATCGTCTGTTGTTTTGCAGTAAGGTGAAAATGAAATGTCTCAACATCATAAAACCTAGCATGTGACCCTGTTGA